ATTGGCTCTTCAGTTTTCTTTGTGCTAAGAGCTATATATTAATAATCTCTCAAGTGCTCCAGGCCTCTCAGAGGCCCTTGTCCTGTTCTATCTATTGGCATAATTGCAGCCATCTTCCTTTCCCCTCACCCCCCACTTTACGAATACTGCTCTTATTCCCAAGAAATAGAAACTAGCCTGAGATAAAACCTACCGGCCTGGAAACAAGAAGGTCTCTCCCTGCTCTCTCATTGAGAGATAGGAGACAACTTACTGGCCCCTGAGATGGGGACATACTGGTTTCCCTGTTCTCTCCTTGAGAAGCTAAAGGGACATGCCTGTCTCTGTTCCCAAGAAACAAACTTGCCTTTCACAAGATCAGGGGATGCTTGCTAAGTCAGTCAAGACTAAACCAGCCCCTAGTGCACAGCCATGATTCTAGCCTATAAAAGGTAACATTCAAGGGGGAGTTGCTGCTGCTCTCCCTCTCTCTGCTCAGATGCACAGAGCAGCCTTATCAGGCTCCAGACAATAAGGCCGCTTCCTATCCCAGGTGAGTAAGTGATTAGTCCTGAGCCACTTTTCTTTCACTATCCAATACACAGAAACAGAGTCCAGCCTCCAAACTTCAATCTAGAATCTGTGATGCTGCTACCTGCAGAGACAGCATTCTATCTGGTCTCCCTGGTTGGAAAGGCTCCCAGCCCCACCCCTATTACCACCACCAAATCCATTTGAGGAACACCTACATCTGAAAACAAAATTCTGAGCTTCACAAATGTAGCTGCATCAACACAAAACCCTCTTCTCTGGGGATTAGGTCCAGGAATCTGCATTCTCACAACTTCCCAGAAGCTGAAAAAACACTTAACGTTCAAAAATGGTTCTTCTTGGCAGCTGGAGAGAGATTCCTCAAATCAATTCTGACCATCTCGCTTCTCTGCTTTCAAACTTCCCATTTCTCATTACTCTTAGATTCAAGTCCAAATTGCTTAAGGCAGCTCGCAAGGTCTTGCAGGACCTGGCTCCTGTCTGCTTGACTACCTTCATCTCTGTTTCCTGTTATGCCAGTAATACTCAATTGAGGGAAATTTACTGGACCCACCTGGTGACTACCTAGTCTTTTATTGGGGTGGGGAGTACTGTACATTGAACCCAGAGGTACTGGACCACTGAGCCACATCCCCAGCCCTTTTAAAATTTTGAGACAGGGTTTCACTAAGTTGCTTAGGGACTCCCTAAATTGCTGAGGCTGACCTTGAACTTGTAATCTTCCTGCCTGAGCCTCCTGAGGCACTAGGATTACAGGCATGCCCCCCTATAAAGCCTTTCTCACCCCACATTCCCACCAAGACACATAGCAGAGTTCCCAGAGTGAAATGCTATGTCTCTATTCTTATTCTGTGCCTACTTTTATTATTGCATTTACCTCAGAAATCTCTTATTTATTTATACATCTCCTCTATCCACCTCCTATAGCACCCCTCCCTCCACTAGGTGTTGGGAGAGAAGGACCCTTGATAATAATGATTTTATAGTATTTACCATAATAATTCCTCTTCATCTCTATAATCACAGCTCCTCGTACATGACAGGTGCTCTATAAATGTTGTCCAGAATGTAATCACATTCCTTAAAATGCTCACATTCCATCCAAACTCTTCTGAGCACTGATCTATGAATAATCCTTGCCTGTCTCACCTCCTGGTTTGCATGCATGCTGCTTCATCTCCATGAAGTTCATTTCCTCTACATGGAAAATCAGATTTGTTCTCCAAGCCCCTTTTGGAAAACTGGTCTCTTGCACAATTTGTCTCTTTGCATCCCTATTATCAGGCTTTGTGTAGCATCATAACTGAAGACTTGTGATTTTTATCCAACCTCACATGCTGCAGTCTTTACCTGGAAGAGTGATTGCCAGATAGTGGATGCTGCATACTAAGTTACTGAATTAATAACTGGCCACAGACATGGCATGTTTTGCAAAGATCATAAAATCTTATTTGATCAGAAACCTAAAAGTGGTTGCCTTTATTTGACAAAGGCTGAAAAACAATATGCTACACTGATTTCAAAATACATTGCTTCCCACTATCAGTTCTTGATCAGATGATTCAATGCGATCCATCATTTTAATATTTGATAAATCTCAAAAAAATCAGTTCCAAGTTTTCATGGTATATAGACTGCTACTCAGGAAGCACAAATATTATTTCTGACACCTTAGATGTTTTCTTGCACCCTTTAAAAGTCAAGATAAAACACTAAATTTTATGTAGCTTGTCTCACACACAAAAAAAGTGCTTTAGTATGAAAGAAAAGGAGTGGGAAGGAAGTCATGTAAAAATCCCCCAAAGACCCACTATTGTAACCCCACAACATAGGTAGCACCATCCTCCTCATTGTGAAGACATTGCAGCTGTATATATTTCCATTTTAGAAATTTGAAAAATGAAAGCAGAGGACTATGATGAGGTTTGTTTCTCACTATGACTCAACTGACAATTAGAAGAGTTACAATTCAAATCCAAGTCTTGGAGCAACTAAGATTATACATTTTCCATTAAAATAACTGTATCCCTTGCCCCGAAGCTCTTAACCTTTTCTTAGTATAAAGAAAAACAATGAAAATAAATTGTGAGACAAAATTTTTTAAGCAAAGAGATTGACATCTAAGCATACGTGTGCATGTGTTTTCAACTTTTTGTGGGGAGGGGGATACCAGGGATTGAACTTGGGGGCACTCAACCACTGAGCCACATCCCCAGCCCTGTTTTGTATTTTATTTAGAGATAGGATCTCACTGAGTTGCTAAGGGCCTCACTGTTGCTGAGGCTGGCTTTGAACTCGTGATCCTCCTGCCTCAGCCTCCCAAGTTGCTGGGATTACAGGCACGCACACTATGTCTGGTTGCATTTTCAATTTTTAAATCTGTGCTACTCATTCAACAAAGGGGTACTGAAGGGTCCTTACAGGTAAGCCACTGTGCTTGGAGCTGCACACAGCAAGTTCAGAGACTAATACAGTCCCTTCCTCAATGATACATTACCTTTCACAGACAAGGCTACAAAGAAGACAAGGCTCCTCTGAACCGTAGAAAGCAGACCTGGCCTCTTTCAGATGTCAGGTGTCCCTACCTTTCCTGTAGGGTAGGAGCTGCAGGAGGGCAAAGAGCTGACCAGACAAAAAAGAATGGAGAGAGAAAATAAAAGTGAGGACCATGTGTGAAGGTCCTCTGAAGAAGAAAAGAACATCAGAGTTTCATGGAAGCTGAAAGACGACAAATGGCAGACAAAGGCAGGGAGAGGATTAAGATCTGCGTTCTCAAAGCAGTATGGAGGAGAGTCCTTGGAAATCTGGGAATGGAACCCCCATTTGACCCAGTAATACCTTTCCTTGGTCTATACCCCAAAAACTTAAAACCAGCATAGTTCAGGGACACAGCCACATCAATGTTTATAGCAGCACAATTCATAATAGACAAACTGTGGAGCCAACCTAGATGCCCTTCAGTGGATGAATGGATTAAAAAAAATGTGGTATATATACACAATGAAATTTTACTCAGCATTAAAAAAGAATCAAATTTTGGCATTTGCCACTAAATGAATGAAACCAGAGAATATAATGCTAAGCAAAATAAGCAAACCCCCCCCAAAAAAAAGCAAAGGCCAAATGTTTTCTCTGATAAGCAGATGCTGATCCATAATGGGAGGGGGATAGGAAAGAATAATAGAACTTTGGATTGGGCAGAGGGGAGTGAGGGGAGGGGAGAAGGTGTGGGGAAGGGAGAAGGTGTGGGGATGGGAAGGACAGTAGAATGAGACAGATATTATTCATTACCCTATATTCATGTATGATTACTCTACTGGTGTGACTCTGAACCATGTACAGCCACAGGAATGAGAACTTGTACTCCATTTGTGTACAATGTGTCAAAATGCATTCTATTGTCATGTATAATTCATTAGAATGAATTTTTTTAATAGATGAAAAGAAAACAAAAGATCCACATTCTCAGCCTCTGCACTGGAGTACAGGGTCCAGCCACCACAGATGGTGCATATGCCCACACTCAGATGCAATTAAGACAAGGACAGCAGGTGAGATGAGCAACAAAACACGTACCTATGACAGCTTACTGACCCTGGAGAATAATCCAATATGGCAAACAATTCCAGGCCCTCCCTTCTTGGGTCATCAAGACCTGTGATTCCAGTGACCCTCAAAGCTCAGCTCCAATATTTGACAATGAATGCTGTCCAACTTCTTTCTTATGAAGTCTTCATTTTAATCAACTCTTAACATCCGTCATATGAACTAAGTCTCAAAGGGTCAGCTAACATTATTCCTGGGTGCATAAACTGCTTTCTGCAAGTTTTCTATTGGGTCATGAATGGTGAACTGCAATCTCTTCAGGCCATACTCATATTGTACACACAAAAAAAATCATAATTCCTTGAAATACATATGGGTTTCTAAGTCTCAATGCTCCAAACAAAAGGGAAGTCAACACAGTGCTGGCTTAGGAGACTTGCAAGAGACACTGAAGTTGATCAAATCCTTGAGGAAGTCATCAAGAAAGCACACACATTTATATAACATGGAGTTGCAAGTCAAGGCCCAACATAACACACTGTACAGCCTTTCAGGCCCACCAATTCCCAATTCTCCTTCTTAAAACATACTGTAAAATAATAATGATAAGTGAAAAACATCATATGAGTGATCATTTTTTTCTCCAAATTCAAGAGGAAAATTAATTCAAATATTGCTCTACTTGAAGTGCACAATTAGCCAAGTTTTGGAATGGTCCCAAGTGACAGTCTCAATCTTAGCTCTTCAAATAAAAGCAGATATATTTTTAGACAGTAGAACTAAGATGTAAGTGGCTTGCAGTTAAAGTAATTGCATATCTGGTGGTGGTAAGTGAATTACAGGAGTGACAAATGCGGGTACTTAAATAATTTGAGGCAAACAACATCTCCCTTCTGCACAGAGCAGATTCAAATGAGCAAAAGTCAGTAAAACATCTGCCTCATTTATTCTGTTCTTTACATGGGTGAAGCCTGGTTGCTAGTTTGAGCTGAAGTTATCCAAGCAGGCAGGACTGGCAGAAGTGCCCCCAAAGCACCGTCCAGAGAACAGCAATGTGTCACCATCCTTTTCAACGAGCTGTCAGCTTAGTTTCCTTCAAAGTAAAAAAAAATCAATGAAAGTATCCCTAAATATACAATCAAATATACAATATTTTTTCTCATTTCAATGGAAAATAATTCTGTTCATCAAGAAATAAGAAAGAGCACTCTAATGGTGAATGCTCTTCCCTCTACCTGGACACTTGTCATTGCCATCTCTCCAGGTCAACATCCTTTCAAGCCTTCAAGGTACACTCAAATTCTTTCCATCCTTGTTGCAGTGACTTTTCCTTCCCTTTGCTTTCTAGAACCCTGGATGACACTAGTGCTTGTCATTATGAGTTCTATCACCTGTCCTATAGGATAAGACACTGGAAGACAGGGTTTAGCATCTCCACACCCCTTTCCATCTTTAAAATCATGTCTGACATTCAGTAGCATTTAATTGAGTCTTTGAATGAGATTCTAGAATTAAAAGCCTTCTGTAAAACAATGACCCTACAATTTTTGAGGCAAGACTTTGAAGACTGGTTGCATCAACACATGTAGTGAAGAAACTACTTCTGAGCCATCTGAATGACCCTCATAGTTACAAACCAATCAGCCATGGTCCAACCATGAAGCAGTATAAACCTAGGATGTGCATACTTGAGTCTCTGTCAGTCATCTTCTAGAAAGTCCCCAGCTGCTATGTTTCACATGGTCATGGCTGGATAGGTTTTGAGACTGTTCTGCTACCCATCTGGTAAACAGGGCTTCTGTGTCTTTATTTTTGGAGACTTTTCTGGGGTGTGGGTAAGTAACTCACCGATATTGCAAAAGAAAATTCTGATATTTGTCTGTTTTAAAGTTCACAGATATCTATTTCTTTTGAAAATACCAACTCTAGATAGTATTAACCTGCCCTTTAAAACAAATTAAGAGCACAAATTTGTTTAATATGGTTTTTTTAATTGTCACAGTCATTGCACTGGTTTCATTAAAATATGCAACCTGATTATTGATTAAATGCTTGTTTATGCACACAGCTAAGCTAATAAGTTATGTAGCTTCATCAGCAACTCAACAGTCAGATCTCTGAAATATGAAATTGTATCAGCATGGTATGACTTTTTGGTAATAAAATATGCAGAAGAGATAGTAAAGTGCACGCCTTGAGTATTAAACTTGGAGATTCAATCAGCATAAAAGTGTAATTATAGGGCTGGGGTCGTAGCCAGTACTAGAGCACTTGCCCAGCATGTGTGAAGCACAGGGTTCAATTCTCAGCATCACATATAAATAAATAAAGATCCATTGACAACTTAAAAAATATTTTTTAAAAAGTGCAATTATATAAGCACAGGGCAGAATCAGAGAGGTACACAGGAGCCACATATCATGTGGCATTATTCTCAAATTACATCCCCATCAATAAATTTATCTGGCACTCTACAAAACTGGAATAAAAAGTAGGAACAGGGGCTGGGGTTGTGGCTCAGCGGTAGAGTGCTGGCCTAGCACATGCGAAGCACTGGGTTTGATACTCAGCACCACATAAAAAATAAATAAATAAAATAAAGATATCATGTCCATCTACAACTACACACACACACACACACACACACACACACACACACATATAGGAACAGATACCTGTCTATGTGACATTTGTGAATTTCTTTCCTTCTGAGATTTTACTTGACAATACTGACATAAGTGAAAATATAACTAAATATATGCATGACTTAACAGGAATTCAGCATTGCTTAAAAAACTGTTTCCTAATACCCCCTTTGAACAACTTTTTGATCAAGGGAGGTTCCACCTCTCAACATACATCATAATTTTTTGAAGGTTACTCACTGTCAGCCAATCAAGAAGCTTTAGTCTCTAAGATTTCATCTCACTCCAGTTAGAATGGCAATTATCAAGAATACAAGCAACAATAAGTGTTCATGAGGATGTGGGGAAAGAGGTACACCCATACATTGCTAATGGGATTGTAAATTGGTGCAGCCAATTTGGAAAGCAGTATGGAGATTCCTTGGAAAGCTGGGAATGGAACCACCATTTGACCCAGCTATTCCCCTTCTCGGACTCTACCTAAAAATCAGTATATTATAGTAACACAGCCACATCAATGTTCATATCAGGTCAATTCACAATAGCTAAACTGTGGAAGCAACCTAGATGCCCTTTAATAGATGAATGGATAAAGAGACTGTGGTATACATACACAATGCAATATTACTCAGCATCAAAATAGAATATAATCACGGCATTTGCAGATAAATGGATGGAGTTGGAGAATATCATGCTAAGTGAAATAGGCTAATCCCAAAAAACCAAAGGCTAAATGTTTTCTCTGATATGTGGATGCTGATTCAATGGGGTGGGGGTGGGGAGAAAGAAGGAACTTTGGATTAGGCAGAGGGGAGTGAGGGGAAGGGATGGGAGGGGGCATGGGGGTGGGAAAGATGGTGCCATGAGAAGATCATTACCCTAGGTACATGTATGATTACATGAATGGTATGACTCTACATGGTGTACAACCAGAGAAATGAAAAGTAATGCTCCATTCATATACAATGAATTGGAATGCATTCTGCTGTCATGTATAACTAATTATAATAAAGGTAAAAAGAAAAAGAAGTTTTAGTCTAACTAAATATTATTAAATAATCAGATTATTTTCCTTAAGGTTAAGTGATGTTATGGGGCTGCAATAACTTAGCCCATGTACTGTTCTTATTTGTCTACGAATAAACTTGGAAACAAAGAACAGACTTCATCATGGCAATAACTTTGCTGTCTCCACCCCATTCCTGAGCACTACTGGGATACATACATTCAGACTTAAAGCTGAACTTTACCCAAGTCTGGGGAAATTTAAGAATACAATTAATTCCAAATATCTAATGCTTTCTCTGGGCTGGACCATATCACAACATTCCTATTCTAGGATTTTAAAGGCCAATCTCATACAACTACACTTGTAAATTAAGATATCACATCCCATTTTAATCTGAACAGCTTGTTTTTTCTTTAAACTTCCTATTTGGAAATTAAGTTTTCTCCCCCAAATTGATAATCACCATTTTATATAGATGGGTTTTTCATCCCTTGCTAAAATAAATGCTAAAAACACAGAGGAAAAGCCCCATTGTTCACTGTCATGCAATATGATTCGTAAGTATATGTAATCATTTGATTGTGGCTTCCTACGAATCAGAATCTGTACCTATGATGGCTCTGATTGCTCTAACATCATGGGGTATATCTGGGATATTTACAGGCATTTTTCTATGCTATGATACACTTGGTTTAGATATATATTTTTTGCTTTTTATTCCAGTTGGATCCAGGTACACGTATCTCTGCTGTTACCTGAAATAGCAGCAGTCTTCTGAAATAGTCTTGTGTAAATATCAATTGAAAGATAAAAGTACAGATTTGCTGTTCTATTTCCTACTCCACTGCCTAGTGGCCTAGCCTAGGGTAATGATAAGCATGGAGAACAATCCAAACAACAAACTGGACAGCTAGCAACTAAGTTCCTCCATCTCTGGGGTCTTGCCAAGCACTGATGTCAGAGTAGACTACGACACAATGTGGATTTGTAACTGCCTAAATTTTACCTAACACTGGTTCTACCAAAATTAGAAAGACCAATGGTGAAATAAGTTTCTAGAAATCCTCTCAGGAATACAGGCTCAAGTTGACTCCTTAAGTCCACTCCCACCCTACTTCATGACACATTTTTTTTTCTTGCAGCATATATCATCCCTAATTCCTTTCCAGAATTTTCCTCAATGAAGAATTCAATAAATATGCCACTCCACCAACAATTGTTGTTTACTTTATTTGCATGCAGTTTTCTCATTTTAATGCTAGTAATATCAAGAGGGAGAACTAGTGCTAAAGCAACTGAGAAGGAACTATGGAACGGTGAAGCTTTGAACAAGACCTTGAAATTGATCTGTTCAGATTCCTCTTCTGCTCTTGGCTGTCATCTTTCTTGTCATTAAAAGAATGCAAGCCATTCTTTGGTTCTGTTTTTTGTTACTTAGCTTTGCACTGCTATGACCAAAATACACAATAAGAACAACTTCAAGGAGAGAAAGTTGGGGGGGGGGGTTGCCCCTAGTTGTTGGGTTTTGTTTGGTTTGGTTTTGGTTTGGGTATTTTTTTAGCTAATAGTTCTAGAGGTTTCAGTCCATGGTCAGTTGGCCAAGTCACTGCCTTGTGCCTCAGTGAGGGGAAGCATCATGGGGGATGGGCCCAACAGAAGAAAGCTGCCTAGCTCATGGCAGGGCCAGGAACAAAACAAAAAAGGTAGAAGAGCAGCAGGGAAGCTGTACCATTCCAGGGCACACCCTCAGTAACCCACCTCCTCCAGGCACACCCCACCAGCCCACAGAGACCTCCCAGTCTGTTCATTCAACCTAGGATGGAGAGATTAAGTTACAGAGTTCATAATTTATTTTACCTGCATTATCACAAGAGCTTCTGGGAGACATCTCACATCCAAACCATGACATGTTTACTCAGTATGTTTCTTTTCTTTCCTGAAGGTCTGTCTCATCCCTTAACATCTGGCTGGCCAACCTACAGAGTTTTATCTTCATTTTACTAACTTAACTCCTTTTTTTTTTTTTTTTTGGTTTGGTTTTCCTGTTATTTGAGGGATTGAACCCAGGGCCATTTTACCATTGAGTTTCATCCCAGCACTTTTTATTTTTTATTTTGAAACAGGGTCTCACTAAATTGCTTAGGGCCTCACTAATTTGCTGAGGCTGGCCTTGAATTTGCAATTCTCCTGCTTCAGCCTTCTGAGCTCCTGGGATTACAGGCCTGTGCCACGATATCAGGCTAATTTCACTCCTATTTTTATTAGCTAATCCAAATCCCTTTGCCTCTGTATACCAATACTTTTTCCTCTCATCTATACTTTCCACCTAATATTAATTCCATGCACTGACTGGATGAAAGGAATTTTCTTATACATTTAAATTTAGTTTCTAATAGATTCAATTACAAAATAACACGACAAAAACAGGTATGATCATTA